AACTATGATTATTGTTTTAAATTGCCCCTCAAGTAATATGTTTCTTACATTGTACCTCCAACTAAAGTTATTGGTTTCGCATTGCCCCAATTCAAAGCATTGGGCTACTCAACTAGCCATTCTCCATCAAAAACATGACCAACATTTCGATAATTGCGGGCAAAGTGAGATCAGAAATATTGTTAAGGGGTCCAAGAGTAATTTATCCTAGGTGTTAGATTTTGAATAAAACATTATGACTTATTGAAGCAGTGTGAAACCAAAAAACATAACTAAAGGCAGAATATGAAACCAATTAATATAATTGACGAGGCAATGTGGTAAGAGCAACTCCAACGCTATCAACAAAAGCCATTTTTTTAGCTATTTTGCTGAGTCAATCCAAAAAATCTCTCTCCAACCGAATCTCTATTTCACTTGCTAATCTGCCTCCCCTTATTCTCACTCATTAGTTCTGGCTAAAAAGGCTCTCGCTCATCAGAGCTCTCTCTCCTAATTTTGGGTTGTTCTTCATCAGAGTTTTGCGCCAAATAGAAAGGTCTCAGTTTCTCACTCGTCTCTCTCAGAGTCTCTCTGCACTCCCAGACTCACTCCATTGGTGGAGCGTCCTAGGAGTCACCAGATTCCCCACCACCATCGTTGATCGTTGTTCGTGGCCAACATTGTCAATCAAGAAGGGTTTAAGATTTTGCTTCAAAGGTATTTCATCACTCGTCTCTCTCACACAGTCTATCTGCACTCTCAGGTAGTGATTGTTTTGGTTTTGGGCTAACGATTGTTTTGGTTCTTTGACTGATTGCTTGAGTTCTGACGGTTTGGACAAAATCCCTAGTTTTTGTTTCATTTTGCCTTGATCACATTTTAGTTTCAGTTGAAGAATTAGTGCCTGTATGTTCCACATGCACACATTGGGCTTTCTAATTACTTTTCTGGAGATAGATTACGGAAACTTCTTTTCATATATCTGGTGCGGCTTTTCCACTGTAAACTAAGTAGTCTGAAAAAATGTTTGAGCACTTAAACTGTTTATGTGATCTTGTGGTTCGTAGTGACAAAAGAAAAGGCTAAACCTGTGGACCTTTGTTTGATATGTTGTAATGAATTTTGTCGAGCTCAGTGTTCCAAAGAAAGGCTACTACAGAGCCATTCTTTTATTATCTCTAGTGTGACGCTTCTGGCAATCGTTGTTGGTTTAGATGACTGATCAATTGTTTGGAGGACTACCCAAAAGGTCTCTCAAGATTTGTTTATAAGACTCTAGAATTTCCACTATTTCTTCAGCCCATATCTAATTGGGTTCAGCTTATGTCCTCGAAATGAATTCCCTCATATTGGACATGCCATGTTATGTTCTGAGTAATATTCCACATGATTCCAAGCTGCTTATTGAATGTTGCTTTGTCTCCTCTTTTTCTTTGCTGAAACTATGGTTTATTTTTTGCCTTCTAAGCATGTTGGAACGAAACATGTTTTCTGGTTTCTCAAGTGGATGCATTCTTTGAGCTTGCAGAGTGTGAAGAATGCTCCAGTAGTTTTGCATAAGAATGCCCCAATAGTACTTAATGCTTTTAAAACTTTTGACTAAAATAGATGCATAAATCAAGTTCAGCAAAGAGTGAAGTTATGCTTTGAATTTCAAGTTATGCTATGAATATGGGGTTAAGCATGATGTTTTCTCTGTTTCACTGGTATTTGATGGTTTGAATGTGGAGGAGGGGGAGTGGATGAGTAATTTTACTATGAGAAATTACTGGCTCATTTTTGTGCTGTATGTGCCTGTCTACGGATTGTTCTTGATATGGAAGGGGATTCTAGGACTCATAGTTTTTGTGTTGATGTTGTATGAGCCTTCATTTTCCTTGGAAATGCATGTGACGTTTTAGGTGCCTTCTAAAGTTGTGTTCTTTGCTTTGTCCTGCTACATTGGAGAGTATCATGACGATATTTGGTGTTGCATGCTAGGTCACTTGAAGCATCATTTTTTGGCCATTAGACCAATATAGGGCCCTATCATCTGTTGATCTTTTTCATAAAGCCTAATTACAAACTTAAATCGAATAATAATCAAGTAACTAATCTTTGATAAAACTTGCAAATGCTTACTCCATATGGCTTTGTCTACCATACAATGTTTGCTTCCTCATTTCTTGAACAAGAGAATACTGTAAACATGCTTCATTTTCTCCACTGGTTTCTATTGTTTTCCATGAATACTGAAATAAGATCACCACCTGTTATGCAACTACTTTCTGCTGTAAATTGCTGGCTTAGGTGCATGTTAGTTCACAATCTTCCACTACTGGTTTATTTTCTTAGTGTTTGTTCAGGTTCACAATTGCTCTTGCTGCATGATTTTTATTAGTCATTTTCTGCCCAATTTTAGCAATGAACCTTTATGCACCTTTCTTTTGAACTTTTTTCATCAACAATGTAGGTTTTCTGATGGATGAACATGGATATTACTTCACCAATCTCTTGAACGACGAAACAAATGTAGATTAGTTAACACTCAATCAGTAAATCAAAGAAGTCATTCTTCACCAATATCATCTCAAATAGAATCCACCACCAAAAAGGTTCGAAGCGGCAACTTTACAGTTGAGGAGGACTTAGTTTTAATCTCGGGTTGGCTTAATATTAGCATGGATGCAGTGCATGGGAATGAGCAAAAATCTAAAAGGTATTGGCAAAGGGTTGGGAGTACTTCAACGAATACAAACTCCAGTCAGATTGTAATCGCAATTAAGTTTCTTTGATGAATCGTTGGTCAATAATTCAACTAGCCACCAATAAATTTTGTGACTGCTTTGACCAAATTGAAAGGTTGAATCAAAGTGGTCTAACTGAGAAAGACAATGTATGAGTGTATTTTAATTGCAAGTGTGAAAATAGGGCATTTTTCTTTTATGATACATAGTATTATTGTACAATTTTCAGGTCTGTGATGCAAAGAAGGTGTACAAGGAACTTCATAAATCCTCTTTTCCATTTGAACATTATTGGAATGAGTTACGGTATCAACCAAAATGGATGGAGGATTCTTAGTCCAAGAAACAGAAAACAAAAGGTGGTGCAACTCCTAGCAGCTCTAATCCTTCAACACCAAAATCAGTAAATATAAGAGACGACAGTGGGGGCTTGGAGAGACCAACAGAAGGAAGGCTACGAAAGAACAAGCAAGAAAGTCAAAGAGCAAACTCTCTGAAGGCGATAATTCAAGTTCAAGGTATTTCGTGAAATTGTTTGAAGAAATGAAGGAGGAGAAAAAGATGATGGCGGAGAAGAAAGTTGAATTAATGGAAAAAATGATGGCTGTTGAATAAGAGAAGGTACAACTCAAGCAAATGAAAGAGGAACATAAAATAATGTTGATGGATACAAGTGTCATGCCTCCGATTCAAGTTGAATATTTTAAGCGCCTCCAGATGGAAATCATGTCAAAGAAAATGTAGTTTTTTCTTATTCATAGATTAACAACTTTTGAGTAGTAGAAAATGTTAGAGTTTGTGGGATTCACACTCTTTGGTTTTATTGGTTTTATTTGAGTGTTTTTATTCTTCTTTATTCTTTCTTTTGCACACTCAAAATGCATTATTATTCCCTAATATACTGTGGGTAATGTATGTTCTAATGTTTTGTCATAGTTCACCTTTTACATACAATTATTTGGTTTGATGGGGATATGGAAGATTTTGTGGTATTATTTTACATACAATTATTTTATATACAGTTCATCTTGTGGTATTATTTTACTCTACAGCTAATGTTGGAACAAATTTTACTCAGCTATTGCTTCTTTTTTTTTTTTTTAATTACTTGACCCAACCTCTTAATTTACATTATGCAGTGTTTTGGTGATATTATATTGTGCTATTATAACTCAAATAAAATTATTTTAATGTATGCACTTGTTGGATATCATTTGAATAATGTATGACCGTTGTAAATATGATTATTAAAAAAATGACCGTTGTAAAATTTAAAATTTTGATGACGTGACACAACACGTTATCATTATGACGCTTACATGTTATGCCACATGACATTTTTGAATTATATTATTGAAAGTTAGTTAAAGTAGTTAACTAAAATAGAGAGCGTGGTTAGAGTGAATTTTAACAAGTAGTTACCTAAAATAGAGAATTTAATATTTAAATATGTTTTGAGCAGCTATTTTGATGAGTGTGGTTGAAAATACTCAAAGTGATAAAAGTTCTAAAAGGAAATGGGAGAATTACAACAAGGTCTCTTGATGTTTGTCACTTAATCACTCAGATCCCCTGACATTTGAAATATTACACACAGACTTCCTAAAGGAAGTTTATATGTGCGTAATATTTAAACCCCTACCACTAATGTTCGTTACTATATTCATTAGTAAATTATACTCAGACCTCCTGAAGTTTATAAGTATACAATACTTAGACTTATAAAGTTTAAAATATTGTACGTAGACAAAAAATACCTCAATCAAAGATAAAATATCAAATATTTTAAATTTTACAACGAAAATTCATCTTCTATTATATCATTTATTGATATATTTGATTGTGGTATTTTTTGTCTAATTACAATATTCAGAATTGAAGGGGTTTGAATGTAATTTACTAACGGATATAATACGGACATTGACGGTAGGGACCTAATTATTACGTGCTTACGAACTACAGGGGGTCTGTGTGTAGAATTTTAAATGTAAAGGGATCTAATTGATTAAGTGACAAACCTCAAGAGGTCTACATGTAATTCTCCCAAAAGAAATCTTAACAGAGCCACTAGCAACAAATCATAAACCATGTACAACAAGAAGAAGGAATAAATAAGCCAAATGCTCAAATGCTTAAAGAGAGAGTTTACCAATCAGATAACATAAATACAAATAAAATGAACACACGAGTAATCATATAAAAATTATTTGTTACCCTCCAATTTAACATTTAACTTACAATTTTTCCCCTTTTTAACCATTGATGCAGCTAAAAACACAATTCAGCTCTACTCTAGTCTTCATTTGGTCCCTTCACTGAAACTAAGCTCTCCTTGTAACTAAAAACCGAAAGGCCACCATATGTGTCACCTCCATGAATTCCAAGGTTCGTAGGTTCATTGGTATCACGCTTGTACAATACCAGTAATGAAGTGTTACTTTCACACAAAAGATCTTGGTTCTTCCAAAACCCAAGCGGCCGCATGACTTCTGAAAAGGGTTGAAAAGTGAAGAGCTTGGTCCAACACCTTTCCTCCTCCATCACCCAAATGTCAATGATAGATTGTAAATCCACACCCGTCGGACAAATAAACAGAGCAATGGATTAATTGTAAAATGTAAGGCTCCCCCAAGTTTGTTTAGGGTGATCAGGCCCTGGTATCTCTCTAAAAACCTCAGAGCTCAGATCAAACGAAAGGACGCTGTAATTATCAGAATTCTCAGATGACAACCAAAAATAAGCTCCATTCACATATGTGGCACACAGAATTGTGTATCCTACGGTTAGGAAGATTAAGAGGATTGAGATATCTCCATGAATCATTACCTAGGGTATATAGTGCAACAACATAGAAAGGGTAAGGGTTATTCATTTGCTCATCCCAAAATGAGCGAATCAAAATAAACTTGTAATTGTTAGTCAAGATGTCCAACCCAAATCCAAATACATGCCAAAAGGAAGAGAAATATGGTGGAAAAATGGAGTAGGGTAAAGGGAGGAGCCTGAACTCTCTAGTAGCAACGTTCCAGAACCATGCGATCGTCAGGGCCATTGTACAAGAAAATTAAACCATCTATGGAACCAATCACAATATCCATAACCATAGGAGTATGTGAATGGTCAATATCTTCATATATAGACGACATGCTCACAAGTGTTTCATAAGGGAACAACGAAAGAGCATATTTATCAGTGTTGGGATTATGATGATGAACAAGGAGACGGGCATGATTTTTTCCCGGTTAAAGTGCATGCCAACAAAACTAGGCTTTTTAATAAGAGTGTACCAGTGCGTGCAGACGCACTTGGATCGCAATAGAGATTTCAAAGGCAACCTTAAAAGTATGTCAATCACAACAGCTTCTGGCAACTTTGGATCACAAGTGCTCAACATTTTGCCCCTCAACTCTTGGTCGAGATGGATCTGTCTATCTTTTATCTTCCTTTGGTTCTGGTTGATAAACTTCTGCTTAATATCTTTAAGTTGGGCATGCTCGGCCTGGAAAATATCGAAAACAAACTATGGATTAACACAAGCATGAACATAGAAAGGACAACTTCAGTTTACGAGATTCTCATCGCTGCAGGGTTTGTGGAAGTAAGAAGTACGTAGCCTAACCACTCATATAAGGAGGCTGTTTCTATCAACACACATAAAATTGAGAGAAAAAAGTAATTATGTGAACAAGTAATAGTAATTTTATAGGCTTTTTGTTTACATGTGATACTCAAGATATTGGTTGATGAGTTTAATGAGATAAAAAGCCAAATAGAATGCAGCAACGTACCGTCTTAGGAGTTTCAGATGAAATGGAATCAGTAGTTTGGAGTCATCTTGCTGCACAAAACATCATACACGTCAAATAAAAGATCGTAGCCCGTGTACAAGTCTTATCTATCATGCTAATGAAATAAACTGCCTGGATTGAAGCCATGGTCGGAGCCAACCTTGGCCCAGGTGGTTACCAGTCCACCCTCAAACATAGACATATGTTATTCATTTGAGCTCTAAATTTGATTTTAAAATTTGATCAATCTACCATTACTCATTCTCAAAAATATTTAATGGTACCCACTCTTTTCACTTTTGTACAAGGCTGTACCTTGATATACGTGGTCTTAACCACTTAGTACACCACGATGGTTTCCTCAAAATCTAACAGGCCATCTTGGTCCTTGCCAAGCTCCTCAAAGAAGCTAGACTTTCCGCCACCATAGCCGCCCTGCTCGAAGTATTCGAGCAAGTCTCTGAACTTTAATATACCATCTTCATCGTGATCACACTTCTTAAAGAAATCGAAAGCTAACTGCTCAACCTCATCAGAACTGGCTTCATAACGAGCTAGAGCAGTACGGCGAATGTCTTCCTTCTCCTTTGTTTTTTTTTTTTTGTTTTTTGTGTGTGTGAATTTCTAACTCAATGCACTATATAGCATGGCATGTTAAGGACATCTTTATATAGGCCAAGGAATGCAAGCCTGGCGGAGCTATTCAGCACAACAACTAAAACTGTCTATCTTAAGGCGTGGTTCAGCACTGAAATTTAAGTTAGGATTAATATCACTTTTAGTTTTTGTTAGTTGTATTTATTTTATTAATTTAATCTTTAAAGTATTCAATTCGTATCATTTTGATCTCTATATAGATAAATCGTTAAATTTTTGACGGAATAATCACGTGTTTAACACGTGATGCTATCTAAAAAAAAATGTGATCACTTCCGTTAAAAAATTTGACAGATTGTCTTATTAGGGACTAAAGTGATATAGATTGAATACTTAAGGACCAAATTGACCAAAATAACTAAATGAAAAAAAAATATATATTTTAAGGACCAAAAATGTTTTTAACACTTTAAGTTATTATAAGTTTATAACACATTTCAATTTTTGTCCCACACATTAGCATTGATTTTCATCATTTCTTTTTTTTTTTGTTCACACATTAGCATTGATTTTCGTCATTTCTATTTTTTCACACATTAGCATTGTCTTTCAACCATTGTTTTACCGAACGTCATGTCGCAGTCACAAGTTGAATTTGGAAAATGAATGAAGGCAAGATGAGACAACTACTTTGCTATAAAATATTGTGGTGAATGTCAAATTGACCACATTCTTCTCCTACGGCTCCAACCCTTGGTAAATATTTTGTCCTAAAATATAAAATTATAGAAATATTCCATGTATTGACATCTAATAATCTAAATGTATTGAAAAGATGCGGTAGAATCTAAAAAAAGACAGGAGATGATCAGGTACATCCATATTTAAAAAAGAGAAATAACTAATCAGAGGTTACTATTTAGTAACCGTCGAAGATAATTGCTATAAAAGGGCATATAATGGAGAAAAATGTGGACATACATTCAACCCCACAAAATCCACGATCTAGACATTTTAGGAATAATGTTCTGTAACCAAAATTCCTTCAATTGAATTAGGAAAAAAATTCTTTTTTATTAGTTCTCTCTATTGTGTATTTATCCATTAAAATTTATCTCACAAGCAATCGCCTGAAAATTATCTGTATATACGTATTTCATTTGTCAACAAAATTTGGAGCAACGATAAAGAAGAGGTCAATTAATTCAATGTCTTCTTCTTCTAACAATCTTATTAGGAAAAAATACATCCAACTTGAAAACCGAATGACTCTCTTCCGAGTAATCAACTAAATTCTGCTGTCAATTTAAATCTAATTTTTTAACAAATAAGTTGTGTGGTAAAATGTTGAACTATGGACGTAGATTGAATCCATGCAGACAAAATTCATATTAAAGGTTTAATTGCCATATACTAAGATGTGTTGTTGTTTGGGTTCCTGGTACTGGTGCTGCCTAAGCGTTCGAAAGATTTAGAGATACGTGGCCATGATACATAAATAGTACATTTGCCTAACCTTAATAGTCCATTTCATATCCCATTTTAATCCCAAAAGATCCAAATATCTTTTATAGTATCAAAAGAAAAAGAAGAAGGAATAGCACAGGAATCCTGATAGAGATAGTGATACCATGTTAAATAAATTATCTATTCCACAAATTTAAGCTGTTGAAGGGGTGTAACTTAATTATTTATATTTCATCACACCCCTAACGTGTATGCTAGATTTTGGGCCTAAATTCGAATACAGGATCTCCTGATACCATGTACAAATTATAATATTATAGACATTCGAAAGAGTAAAGAAAATAAAAGAAGACACATAATAACATAATTCAGAAAATTGTCTATGTTCATAGACCTAACGACGTATGAACTACATCTAATAGAATATTAATAGATCTCATCACATATATCACTCTCACTCATCATCATCTCTTTTTATCTCTTTGGATGGTATCACTATCTCTATCCTTATTATTCCATTTTATTTTTAATCTTGTTTTCCCATTTCATATTCCATTAAAGGAGGGGGGGGGGGGGGCAAAAGACCAAGAAAATTTGGGGCAATAATTTTCTGCAATCAATGTTGGGAAAATTACCCAGTTGATGCAATAATTAAGGATTCAAAATTTCGTCCAATTCACATTTTTTTATTTTTTATTTTTTATCAACAACAAATTATACAAAATACAATCGTGAGAGACCCAACAAAAATTAAAAAAAAAAAAGTGTACCAACGGTATCTCCCTCTTAATAATACTTTACATTATATAAAAAAACACATTTGTGAGGATTCCGATCACATTAAATAATTTTTACCTAGATTTTTTCAACAGTTAGTCACCCATCGTGCAATAGAATTTATGATGAATGATCTATTATTGAGAACAATTATGAAAAAATATATTCGGTAGATTCAAATCCCATTTGTAATACAAGAATACAAAGTTTATTTATCCAAAAAAAAAAATGATGGGCTACAACCCAAAAGAAAGAGGAGTAAAACTAATCTTGTGTGGAAGGATTCAGCACCGGTTATATAATAAGATGTGAACTCGCTCTGTGCTGTGAATACTTGTTTAGACAGAACCATCCAATAAGATTTACTGAGTTACAACTGGAATTTGCTTTTGTGGTCCTACATGCCTGGACTCGTCAAATATTTCGCTTTATTTTTTTGATTCTGAATAGGGTGTTCCCGGATAGGAAATATAGTCTTCTGTCTTCCTACCTAATACTTTGTGCAAGAATTTTTTTTTGGCTTATCTTACGCGATCAGGTGTGGTATTCCTATCCGACTTCCTACTCGATTAATCAGGTAAATACTTTTGTAACTATTAATATTTGAATCATTTTAACAATTTAATTAAATAAGATGCATAAATTTAACAACACAATAAATCAATAATACTAAAACATAAAACAACTACAACAACAATTACAATAAAACACAAGAAAACATGAACATCAATCCATCATAATTATTACACAAATACAATAATAATTATTTTAAGTTTAAATCATATGAAACACATTAAAATTATAACTGCTCCAATAGATAACCAGTTCACCACAAATCATGTAACTTACACAAAAAATAAGTCCATGTTTTAAGAACTCAAATATCCACAACAATAACAATGTTATAATACAAATTATATCACACAAATATTCTTATAATTACAAAAAAAAAATATAAAAATATTTTTTATGGGTAGGGTAGGGTAGGAATGTGAAAATTGATGGGTAATACGCATTCCTACCCGATTTAATTGGAAGATAAAAAACTCTTTTACATTTCTACCCGATTTTTGCGACTAGGGTCGAGTAGGATAGGAAATTACGACTAATCAAAAATTTGAACACCCTTAATTCTACTCGATCATTACAAAATATTTTAAATTTTGAATTCTTAACCCTTTTTATTGTACTTTTATCTTTTTGGCTTGCTAGCAATGCAAGATATATGTTGAATATATTTAAATAATAAAATTTTCTAAAAAGAATAATAAATTATATATGAAATAATTAATTCTTATTTTAATTTTTGCTAAACCTAATTATTAATTTATTTTACTTCTCTTTGAGTATCTAATCATTTATTTTTTTAATTATCTCAATCTGACAAATACATAGGGGCATCCATAGGCAGGGTTACTCATGGGTCCCGTTACTTGACCTCAAAAAAATAGGCTTGAAATTCGATAGACCCGATAGTTGGCCCGCCCAAACCCAATATCCTTAAAAAAAAAGACTTGCGTTTGCCCCCAAACTCGTTACTTGGCCCAATAGCCCGTCCAAAAAACCTATTAAAATCCGGACCAAGAGCCCGCCCACGAAGCCCAGTTCGCCCATCCTTCCTTTGAAAAAAAATTATACTTTTACATCATTAAATTAAAAATTTTGAAATAAGTCTACCAATGTAAGAATTTGAAGTTTTAAAAATTTAGATACTGTAAATAATGTATTATTTTCCTTTTCATGTATTAAATATACAAGTTTTAAATAATAGAGTAATGCAAATGATAAATAAGTGAGTAGAGGTCAACCTAATTGAGATGTATTCATTCTATTGGATGTAATTCATCCCCTAATAAAAAATATAATTATTCATTATTTTATTTTTATCCATTTTGACTTTACTTTTGGTTCAAAAATATAATTTACACAAATATTAAGTTAAAAAAATATTCATTATTTTTAAATGAAGTTGTATATAAAAAAGTCTGCAAGCAGGCCTGCCCAATAAGTTCACAGGTTGGGCTATGGGTAGCCTATCCCTACCCAAAGCCTAGCCCGACTTGACTAATAACTCACTTAGATAAGAGCTTGAGCCTACACTATTGAGACCCGGCCCGGCTCATGCACACCCCTACAACTACATGTAACAATAATATAATATATATTAGACTTTATTTTTTATATAAATAGATATAGATATAGAAAATAACATGCAAGTGTATTACTAATTCATGAGTTGTAAATAATTTAGAAGTCAAATGTTACTAATAAAAAGGTCCAAAATAATTTAGAAGTTAAATAGGTATAGAAAAAAAAAATTAGATCAAAGTAAATATGTGAGTAGAATTGATTTTAATAAATGAGTCCAAAAAAATTTAAAAGTCAAATGTTACTAATAAAAGAGTCTAAAAGAATTTAGAAATCAAAAGGTATAAAAAAATTAAAAATTAAATGAAAGTAAATATTTGAGTAGAATTGCAATATGTTAAATGAAAGTAAATATGTTACAATAATAATTATGGATAAAATGAAAAATTAAATATTTTCTCAGATACTGATATTTATAAGTAGTATAAAATAGATATCGATATAAATAGATAGAAGGGTGAGGCTTTTCGAGAAAATATTCATTATAACGGTAATATTATATGACAATGTAATGTGATATTACTAATCAATAATATTAAAACAAATAAACAAATAGACCCCACAAAAAATAATAACGAATCTGTCATGTAAACAAATAATTTTTCATTCTTCTTCTATATAAGCCCAAGTGGAGTTCACGTTGGTCACTTGAAGTTTTATTATTGGTTGGTGATATCATATCATCAATGGTGACATAGTATCACCGTTGCATTGAATATTTACTTGCGTTATTCTCACTTCTTAAATCTCTTTTTCCACCCCATTTAATTCTCTTACTTCAAACTATTAAGATTACCTCATCTATACTCACTCAATTAGCTACTAAACTTACCTTATCTATATTCAATACTTAAAAATTAAATTCATTTAATTTTATTTCAATCTACTATATAGGTCATGATTAAAATTTTATTTTGGTGTATTCTTTCGGTATGAAAATATTTCAGAAGCAGAATAAAAATTAATAAAAAATAATTATTATTTTTAAAATATTAATAAAAATATACCAAAATATTTTAAAACACCTCAAAATATTTCAAAGACATTAATGAAAATATATCAAAATATCTCAAAACACCTCAAATTAAATCACCTCAAAACATTGAAATTTCACTTCAATTACTATTTTTTTTTTGACATATACTTAATAGTTTAATTGAATGAATAGAAATATGATGAACTTAATAATTAATAGGGTGAGTATAAATGAGGTAAACTAGTAATTTGAATTAGAGGATTTAATGAGGTGAAAAAAGAGATTTAATGGGTGAGAATAATCTCACCCTAGATAGAAATGAAACACACATACACTTTTTAATCTTAAATTTTTTTGTTAATTTATTATTTTTATATCAACAACTAAAAATCACTCAAATTAAAATTAATGGTCTAAATTATTTTCGAGACGGTAGTACCATAACTCTTAGCCTCATTCTTTGTTCTTGCACGAGAGATTTCCTACAATAAATTGAGATAGCAATCCTCTCGATGATGAACCTAAAACAATCACAAGGTCAGAAAAGAGGCCGGGTGAACACCCGGCTTATTCCCTTCGAAACTTAAGTTAGTATAAGATTGGAGGCTTTAGCACAGTGTTGCTCTTTTCTCAGTCTAGTATAGCGTACTTTTGTTCATTTTTCTAAGGAGTATTTATGCCTGGATTAGTAATGAGTGCCAAGGCTTAGAGTCTCATTTCAAAATTTAATGACTTGCACTCTTACCCATACATAATGAGTGTTTTCCACTCAGATCTTCGTACTTAGTTTACTCGGGTGATAGGGGTGACAGTTTGGGACATGCTGAGCACTTATGACCTTATCCTCAGTCATTTAAGTCTTTTGATCGGCGCTTGAAATCTACTTCTGAGCGTTCAATGCTCGGGGAACAGTACCTCGAGGTGTGCTAAAAAGATATAATCGGCGCAATAGCCATTAATGCTTCGCAATCATGATTGCTACTTTGGGTCTCGAGGAAGTAGAGGCTTATTAATAGTCCTGTCTCAGTCACTTACATTTTTATTAATGAATTGTCACGTCTTCTTAAATGCTGGTGTTAGTACATGTACTCGGCTCCTCTGAGCCATTACTCCTCGACACCACTTCTCTCTCTTTTTTTTTTTTTTGCTCACTGTCAAAGCTAAGTTTTTTTTTTTTTTTGAAAGAAAATAAATCCTAAACATGCAGCTCCTAAAAGAGCATAGTCAGCCAGAAAAATGCAACTGGGGTGTAGGCAGCATTAAATAACAGCTGCAAGAGAGTGTAATTGAGCTGATACTTAGAGCCGAGAGAACCAATAGCTTGAGCTGAATGATTGAGCTGAGAAGAACCAGCTGAGAGAAGGAGAGGACTGATAAGCCTTGAGCTGTGAGCTGAGCTAAAATAAGTAATAAGCAAGGCTGCCATCGAGCTGATAGACCATCTGATAAGGGCAGATGGAAAGGCAGATCTGATAGGCAGAGTTAGATCCGATAAGCAGGTGAGGAGGCGCATTGAAAGTGCAAAAGTGGCAGGCGAAGAATCTGAACAGAGTCTTGTACCAACCAATCCTCTGAACAGACCTTTTCATTTTCAGCATTAGAGTATGACTGAGGGTCAGTAGAATCCCATCCGAGAAGAACATGGCATCTCCTTCCTGAGTAGAAAATGATGAACCATCCTAAAGTCTTCATTGCAGCAATGAAGCGAAACCTCCTGTGGAATTCCAACAGACGAAGCAGAACCAAGATCATACCCCAAATGAAGACCCAAGAATACCAGAGGCTCAGACATTGATTCTGAGGAATAAGAGAAGATGAAAAGGTGCATACTGTACCCTCTTCTATCTTAGAGTCTTTGCTTTGAGAAATATTCCTCATTTAAGGGATGAATGTGTTAACGGACTGTATAAAAGGATTGTGTTCTTTTCTTGAAATGTGATCTGCACTTTATCCATGTAATCAAGACTAAACTGTAAAGAACTTAGAATAAGAAGAGGCAGAAAACTTCTTACAAATGGCCTTTAACCTCTGAAGATTTGTCATGTCACTCCAGCTACAAACTTAAAATCTGATCTGTCCTCTTAAGTCTTAAGTCTTAAATTTCTGATTTGCCTTCTATCCTGCAACATCAGAAGTCTAGTGGCAGTGGGTAGATTGTCTGGAGACGAGTACGTTGAAGAGACTTTAGTTAAAGCTCCCTGGTTTGCCAATGAGTCTACCACAGTGTTACCCTCACGATAAGAATACTGAATTTGATAGTCCAAACCATAAAAGATAGAACGAATTTGATAAAAGATATTCCTGAATTTCCAAGAAGTCTGACTGTTATTTTTTACCATATCCACCAGTAATTTAGAACCAGATTCAATGAGGAATGAATAATCCAACAATCCAAAATCTCTTGTCAGTCGTAAACCATCCAATAAAGCCCTCATCTCTGCCTCCATATTGGAACAATGACCATAAAAATAAGACCCTGCCAAAACAAATTGCCCAGTAGAGTTTCGTAGGATGACCCTTCCTCCTGACATACCTGGGTTCCCTTTTGAAGCTCCATCTATATTCAGTTTCATCATTCCCTCATTTGGGAACCCCCAAGCTATCCATTTAACTTGTTTAAGAATTGTATTGGACCTTCTCACATTAATGACATCTAATAAAACCAAGTCTTTCTCTGAATCCAACGCCTTAGGATTGATATTGTGTAGCTGCAGTTTCCAGAAATGTATACTGTACTTAAGCAGAGAAGAAGAATGAATATTTTGATTTTCAAAAGGCCTCCTACACCTTTCCTTCCATATCTGCTAGTAGACCAGTAGAGATAAACCTCTCAACAAATAGTGCACCATAGAAGATTTCTTAAAAATTCTGATCATCCTCATAAACCTTGTAATGGGCCCTTCTTGGGAGATGAGCTGAATGCCCAAAAGCTCAGATAACCTCCCCCAAATCGAAGTTGCATATTGACAATTAATGAAGATATGAGCTGCCGATTCACAATCTTTCAAGCAAAAAACACATTTACTAGCCAAAGCAACTCCCATAGACTGAAATACAGAGTCCATAGGTAAAGCATTCCACAATATTTTCCAACCAATAAGCTGTGCACTTGGAGGTGCCGCCTGTTTCCATATATTAGAAGCCTGAACATTTTGTTGACCTGCACTTCTTATTAGGTTCCATGCTGATTTACCGGTGAAATTCCCCCTTGTAGTTGTTGGGATTTCACACGATTTAAATCCACTAACAAACACACACAATCGAAGAACAAATCAAGAATATAAAGCAATAAGAAACAAGAAAGAACAAGACACAGATTTTACGTTGTTCGGCAATTTACCTACGTCCACGAAACTGCAGTAATTTCACTATTGAGAGAGTTGAATACAGAGAGCGGCTGTACAATCCACGATTAACCCTAATCACCAAAACAACAGGGTTTATATGTCCTACGCACTGGGCTGTATAACGGCTTGGGCCTATCGGCCCAAGCCTTCGCTCCATGGACTAAGCCTCAGAAAATTTTCCATTAAAAACCACACAACATTACTTCGGGTCCGGTCATCATCCGGATCACATATACAAACTAGACTCCATAAAAAAAACCAACAGTAGTATGCTGCCAAATAAGCTGATCCACCCCCCTCCGTCAATTCAATTTGCAAAGCAAATCACATCCTGTATAAGCTGATCATCCATATGCTGTCTCACGCTATTAAAATCCCATCTGCCTTGAACAAGTACCTGTGATAGACAGGGAAAATTCAATGGAGCAGAAGAGGCTCTATGAATTAGTGGCCCCAATTGTGACCAGTTATCACACCAGAAATCTACTTCATCCCCTCTACCTACCAACTTCAGCGAATTATTAACAACCTCCTCAAACCATGGATATAGCATTCTATTAACTTTAGAATAACTATGTCTTGAACTCCTCAACAAATGGCCCTTATTACAATACTTATCCATAAAGAATTTAGCCCATAAAGACTTTCCATTAAGCAAACCCCATACCTGCTTCATTCTAAATGCCTTTTGAACCTCTTCAAACTTATGAAATCGAAAAACCAAAACTATTCAAAGTTTTCAGTAAAAAATCCCACTCTAACCTGTCAAATGCTTTCATCATATCCAATTTTACAATAATATTACCTGCCTCCACCTTCCTATCCAATTCATTCACCATAAACTGAACCATAGCAATTCTGTCCCCAATATTCCTTCCTTTGACAAACCCATGCTACTCCTCTGAAATAAGTGTAGGAAGAATTTCCCCAAGTCTAGTAGCTAGGATCTTAGTGAATACCTTATACACAAAATTACATAAACTTATCGGTCGAAATTCATCAAAAGAAGCAGGATTTTCCTTCTTTGGTATAAGGGATAACAATGTAGCATTCACTGATCTGGGAATAACGTTAACTAGCTCCTCCTCCATAACGTGTGTTTCAGTAGAATATAGAGCTGAGTACTAATTCACCGCACAGTCCACAATTTCTTGATCATCCTCCAACCAAATATCATTTGAATCTTTAATTCTAGAAACTCTATTCCTTGTTGCTTTACCTTTAGCCATAGCATGAAACAATTTAGTATTCCTTTCTCCCTCCATAGCCCATTTCACATTAGCTCTCTGCTTCCAAAATATCTCCTCAATCCTCAAAGCCTGTTCTAGTTCTTTCCTCACTTCTAGCAAAGCCATATAATTGGCCTCTGTATCGGATCTTTCCACTTGTAATTCAGCCTGGACCAGATTCCTCTCCAACCATTTTATATTCTCAAAAACATTACCAAAAGTGTCCTTATTCCATCTTCTTTCTGAAACTTCAAAGTTCTAAGTTTCAAAAAAAGATTCTCAATAGGGTTAGACGAATAATTTGCAGGCCAATAAAACTCTACTAACTTGAGAAATCCAGGATGCTCAATCCACATGTTTTGAAATTTGAAATAAGAAACTCTTACTTGAGAGTCTATCTCCAAAAATTTGGTAATTAAAGGGCAATGATCAGACTACACCATGCCAACATGTTCAACCACAGTACTTATGAATCTACTCCTCCATTGCACACTCACCAAAGCCCCATCCAGTCTCTGCCACATTTGTGTTCTACCTTGATGGTTATTGCACCATGTAAAAGTAGATCCTACATACCCACAATCTTGCAAACCCATAGTACTTATAAAATTTGTAAATTCACTCATAATTGACACACTTGGAATAACACCTCTTTTTCTTTCTGTTGATGAGACGATTGTATTGAAGTCCCCAATCACCATCCAAGGAACATTAGAAAGTAGTAGCCCAGACAAATGAGCCCATAATTCTCTTCTTTGTATATAATCACATTTAGTGTAGACAAAAGAGATAAAAAAAGGCATTGAACCCATGTATGACACCTCCACTGTTAGAACTTGCTCATGGACATACTTTAAGGAAATCTTTATTCTGTGATCCCAAATCACCCATATGTACTTTTCAGCTAATGGATTAGCTAAATATGATGAAAACCCCAGACTACTACATAAGCCATGCATTTTAGAAGGAAGTAACTTCGGCTCCAAAAGACAGACCAAAGAAATGTCATGCATTTTCACTAACTTCTTGAGCCTCATCCTAGAAGCCTCTTGATTTGCCCCCCTCACATTCCATGTAATCGTATTAATCATTAAAAGGTTTTAGAGTGAGTAATCTTTCTAGACCTTGATCTAGTAACCATACCTACTTCAGAAAGCTCTTGCCTTTGCTCTGTATCAGAATCTAATTCTTGAGAATCATTTACCCCTCCTTCATCTCCCCTACTGGTAAGCTCATCTTCCGAATAAAACCCCTTATCTAGTGGCTCCGTAGTATGATGCAGTCCACATTCATCATCCATAATGATCAATGTACCCTCTTGACATGCGTATTGGTGTTCCACCAAAAAAGTAGACTCCAATGGGAGCAAGCATTGCTAATTCAAAAGACTCTGCCCCAACTCCACATCCTCTCTATTATTTTCTTCTTGTCTCTGTAATTCTGTCATAGCATCCTGCTTCTCGAGTGACTTAAATTCTGTATGCTCAGCATATTCGTTTTCCAGTTGCTTCATTCCTTACCCTCCAAGTGTATCCATTATTTCATTGTCCACTTCCTTTTCTCCCTCCTCTCTAGTTATGTCAATAATTTCTTTTCCAGCATTCAGTTTATCTATAGTATTATTATCTTTACCCGAGTGGCCCCCGTTTTCGAACTGTTACTATTTTCTTTTTCATCTTCCAAAGATCCTTCCCCATTAATTTTGGTGTTACTGCTACCCCATTTGGTAGTAGAATCTTTCAAATCTCCTCCCTTATTCTGCTGAATCCATATCCCTTTATTCTTGACAGTCAAATTGGTTTGCCTCAAATTATCCATATCCTTTCTAAACCCAGACCCTCTTTCCTTAGCTTGCATTATGGAATTTCCAGCCTGCGCACATTGTTTCCTTTTCCCTTTATCTTTTGTTACCTTTTCTGTATGCATATCCGTCAACATAGGATTCTTTCCTTTATCATCAATTTCCAATTCAAGAACCTTTCTTCTTTGACAGTCATCTTCTCCATGGCCCTGCTTCCTACAAGATTTACAGTACTTTTTGCTTTTTTCATAAATAGTATTCTGCCACCTTGCCCCTTCTTCTCCCATATCCAACCAACTCCTGCATGGATTGTTTGCCAGTAGGTTAACCTCCACACAAACTCTAGCAACCCTAGGTCTAGCCATAGATAACGTTGATTGATCATAAGCCAACACCTTGCCTATTGGCTTCATCAATAACTCAAGGAACTGTCTTTTGAAAAAGTTTAACGGCAAACCCGGTAAAGACACCCACATAGGAACTACTGAAGGCTCAATTCCAGGAACGAAAGTTGTAAACCACTTAAAAAATCTAGATAGATACTCCTTAATCAATGTAGCATCCTTCAACCAAACTTTGACATAATCCTCTTGCAGCTGAAGCCTTATGAGAACATGCCTCCGATCAATGACTCCCACTTCAAAACCACCCTTCAAACTCCATTTCAAACGAATAACTTCCTTAATAACACCTATAGAAGGTCTGCCATAAGCACACTCACCAATAAGAGCATACTGAAGTGGCAAACATGAGGCTTGAATCTCTTCCTTGGTAAAGTAAAAAGCGGGCTCTCCTTCGTAAAAAACAACAGGTTTGTCAATCCTTGGAGCTGCATCTATATGTTCCTGGTAAGAAGGTTGCTTGAAAAGAGAAGCATAAGTTTGCTGGTTTTTGAATTTGAATCAAGTAAGTTGGATTGTATAGGTTCTAGAGGTTTTTGGTGATTAGATGGTTACATAGGTTATGATTCTAGTGATTTTGGTTGATAATCTTGTGTTTTGGGATTAGGATCTGGAGGTTTTGGTGGGATTTGGTTAAGGTTGGATGAAGAACTCATTGTAGGAAAAAAAATTCTAGAGAGAAGGTAGAGCTTCTCTCTCTAACAAAGTTCCACACTATCACAATTAGTGTAATTAGGTATTGATTAAACTAACTCGACACCACTTCTTGGCGCCTTTTGAACTTCATAACGACTAAATCTTTACACGTGTCGATTTGGGTGCTGTTGAGCCACCTAAAGTCCCATCAACTTCCCCTGAGGCTCCATTTTCTTTGCAGCATGGGACAGGTGGCACAAGGAGAGTGGTGGCTTGCCGAACACGCCTAATTAATAAAGGTGGTTACTTGCACGTCTGGCGCCTCCCTTTTTAAATTTCCAAATAATGATTTGCCTCTTCGATGCCGGTCCCTTAGTAGGGTATAAATAGGAAATCTCTTGGCCATTTACAGACTTTGAATCTTTGAATCTCCTCTCAGCAATCAACTCTCAAATTCTCCCATATTTTTTGAGCATCTGTTTTCTCTTTCCTGAGCATCCTTTATGAAGATCTTCCCTTTTAAGTACTTCATTTTTCCCAATTTCTCTTTATCTGTTCATCCTTTTTCTTCTATATTTCTTCGAAAACACATCCATGGCCAGGATTTGTAGAACAGTAGTTAGGGAACTTGCCAGGGCTAGTGACAACTGTAGGTTGAGGAGGACCGAGGTGAAAGACTCTAATATCCAAGCCTTTAGGGAAAAATACCATATTGCCGAGCCTTTTTTTGCCTTCCCCTTTGACCCTCATTAACATAGGAAAGACATAGGGACTGTAGACCTCATGCCCTTTTACACCAAGGCCATCATGGAAGAGGGAGTTACATCCCCTCTCTATCCCCTCTTACTAAGGACGTTGATGAACCCAAGTCTTTTCCCCTTTTAGTGTGGAGTCAATTTCTTTAGGGTAGTCATGGGCGTGGTCACCCTAAATCCTCGTCTTGAGGTAAACCTAGAGGTAGGTGAAATCCTATTCTGCTACGACTTGAAATTAGTCATCGGCGACAGGTACTACCTTTAGGCTCAGGATACCTCCATGTACCTAGTGACCCACATGTTGGACTCATACAAGGGGTATATTCAAGATCTGATCATGCTTGGCGGCAGTTAAGGGAAAGGAGATGGAGCCGAATATGATGGATTATACTGCCCCAAAGTGCTAAGGGATCCAGGTGTGTATTGTAAACTTTCAATCTGCTTGGCATTTTATTGTTGTTTTTGACCTTCATTTCTGGCTTCTTCTTGCAGAAGGGTACAAGGTCGCTGCTGCGCAACCCTTACAGTTCCAAGTTAACTTTGGGGACTTGGTGAAAGTCTGGTCTCACAAGCAGTGCGTGTTCTTCTTGACTACCACCCCACCTACTCAAGGTTTTCACAAATCCCACCGTCGTTTGATCCTTTAATCTAGGAGGATCGTTATTCTTCAGAGGGAGAGGAGGAAGACCTTGAAGTCGATCCCGACCGAGATGGCAAGCGCACTTCATCCCTCGACGACATGTTCAACCCTCCTCCCATCACTGCTGCCACCATGAAGCTGCCGCGGTGGCGAGGAGAGTCAGGCTCTCTGGGGCTGGCGGGACTTCTAGTATCGCGTCGATCATCACGATTCTGTCTCCTTTACCACGCTAACAGCTGCCACCGCTGCTTTATGCTAATAGGACTCCTAGGACCTTGTAATTCCACCGAGGGACCAACCACTAAGACGCTAAGGGATCCCCTCAGACAATCGGCCAATAGATCGCCGCAGCTGACAGCTCAAGGCCTATGATGAGCGCTGGGTGAAACGCTGGCACGATACCCCAGCCCCAAGCATGTCTACCGAATGGGCCCCCTAAGCACAGACCAGAAGAGGGCACCCAGTGTTGGAGTCTGACTCCATCAATGAATCTCTTGACGTTGCCTTCGCCGTCACCGGGAGTTTCCAATTTGAGGCTGACCTGGCTGGTTATCAAGGTTATAGGGACGACAATATGACACCACTAAAATCGGGGGTCCTTTTTCAACGTTTGACCACTGTCAACCCGCGAAAATACCCATGATTATCGCCCAATCCGACATCACGTCAATAAAATCCCTTTAACCGGGATCATTACCTACACGTGTAACCCATGTAAATTTTTTCTTTGACCCAACCAAGGTCCAATATACCACAAGTTATCTTTATTTTAACTCCATTTATATCTTTAGAACCAAAGAACCCAAAGGCCAAAAGCTTGGCAAAACAGTTTTAAATTTTCAGATTTTGGGAGAACCTACCGATAGGTGTTACCTACTCAAAAAGTCCTACCAGTAGGTTGTGCCTGATAACCAAAATTTTGCCTGTACGAGATCCTACCGGTAGGTCTTGTCCACTAGACAGCGATCTACTGGTAGGTCTTGCCCAATTTTACCTGTTTCACCTATTTTTTATTTCCAATTCATTTCAAATCTACCCAAACTCTTATAACATATATTTTTACATCAAATACAATTAAAACAAGTTCTATTACAATCATTTTTCAAAAGATTACATGTCTAAAACATAAATTTCACAATGTTTTACAAAATATTAAAGGCTACAAGTCGGCCTCTCTTCATTCTCGAAGCTCTAGATTAGAGCCGTCCACCGGCGTATATGCCGCACCTGAAATGTTTTCCCGTATAGGGTGAGCTACGCTCAATAGAGTATCTTCTATAGAGGCTACTCCCTCTAGATGCATATGAAATGTGCACATGCAACAATCAACAATCATTTTTCATTCCAAACAAGAATATGCCATTCAATATTGGAATTCTACTATGTCATGTCATGATATAAGATGATATTCACTCATGCACTTTAACTCGAGTCCTCACTGACTCCCGCAACACAATGCACTGCTAATGTGTAACAAATCTGTCATTGATGAATTACATCCAATGATCATTTTGAAACAAAAGTCATGAGCTTATAAAACCGAATCATTGTTGGATGTTACACATTGAATGATTATTTTATAAAACAAGTACACTTTTCTAGAATTTCACCTCAGGGGAGTGTACGAACCAGGTATCATATAAAAAAAATCATATGTCTTTGTTGGGTAGCAGAGTTTTGGTATCGCACCATAGGTTTCACAAACCAATACACTTTTCTGTAATTTTACCTCAGGGGAGTGTACGAACCAGGTAGCTGGGTCTTGCACCTGAGGGAGAGTCTAACCCTTCTTGCTATACCCGGCACAAGTTTTTCGTGCAACCATGCGACTTAGTCAGATCTTCAATCCAACTTTCTTGAGCCCACCCATTAATCACCAAGTATGGTATTTGATTAAACCATGCACACACACACTCACACTTATGTCTAATGCCCATGAATGCGATGCCAACTTCATGTCCAATATGCAATGAATATCAAATGAGCAATTAAACTGCATATCAACATATCTCATGGTAATTTATATCATAAGCATATAATTACCATAATTTATCATGATGTTAACAT